GCAAGGGTTTAAGATAAGGATTGTTGAAGAATCTGTGTCTAGAAACTAAGTGTACACTATTGGCATTTTATCTGACGTCGAACACATTAGGAAGCATCTATAATCTAAAACCTAAGCATGTTGCTCATATTTACTTTGTAATAACAAAATACGTATGAACACAAAAATACATTTTAAATAGAAAAATTCTTTGTAACATGATGCTAACGGTCTCTAATCTTTGCTTTTTAGATCAATTGTTCTTCAGATGTTTCTTCTGCGGGACAAACACCTGGAAAAAAAAGAAAGAAGTAAAAAATGAAGCAGTCTACTAGTTGGATCTATCTACTGATCTAACCTGAATATTTGCATATCCAATCCAAAAAGGCGCGCACGTCAGTGTAGATGTTTATCATATCTGAAAATAAAAGAAAATTCTAGACGAAATTACATAAGCGAGTTTTCCGGCATAGTGCAGATTATGGGAGAGTATATTTGGTATTAATCAACCTTTGGAGAGAGATGGTCTAACGTTTTCCATTTCATACTTTACGACATTTAGTTTTTAGTGTATGAGCTCTTTTAGAAGACCATTTTTACAATTTTATATCAAATTCTGTCAGTGATGCTCACTTTGACTCTCATTAGGCGAGTTGTTAAGGTAATGGCTGTAGATACCCACAAGAATATGTCGTCCCCTATCATCTGTTTGGAAAAGTGGACCACCACTGTCTCCCTGAAATGAAACGATTATGGAATAACAAGCAAAACCTCAAATACAACTTCACAACATTAGAGCCCCCTTTTGCAAACGTAGATGTCTTAATTAAGAGCGAGATCTCGTCAACACCGCTCAACATTTGTGATACCACTTGCTGTCCGCGAGAAAACTCCCCATTTTGATTATTGAATGTTATAGGGCTGGTGGCTGAAATTGGCGATATAGGAAATTAGAAGGAGACTCTGAATTTCTTTCATCTTTAATGTAACGTATCTTGAAAGTTACGGCAAGATGCTTATTATTCTGAACTAATAATCATAGTTACTAACAGCTGAAATGTCCAAATGATAAATAAATTCTCTAAATAACTTAGGGGTCTTGGATATGACTTCATTACTTAACCTTTGCATTCAAGCTTTATGATGCGTCTCATATGTTTAAGTTTTCTTTATGAGGAAAATTTGAATTGAATGTGAAAAGTCAATTCATAGTTAGTCAGAGTTCACC